CTTCGGTGATTCCTTCAATAACCGGAATCCAGAGACTCGTTCAATTTGTCATTTTCTCTAAATTGGACATTAAAAAACCGGTTACAGTACATCACATTGAAATCCAGTCTCTCAGTTGCTTAAAGTTATACGATCATCATTAACATACACAGTGCAGAGTGGATTCACTGTGCACCGCAACTAACGCGTTTTGCTGAGGCGCTCCGAACTGAAGATCAGAATTTCTGTGTATTGTGTTTCCAATCCATCTGAGCACCGAGTCAGTTACTACAGTCTCAATTCATGGTCCTTTAAATAAAAAAAGGAGAACTGGCGTGCACATTTGCTGTCACCTCATTTGTAAATAAATTAGTAATTACATTGCAAACATGACTTTTTAAAAAAAGGCTCATATCCACTCGATTTGACCCAATTTCTAAATCCATGTCTAAATGTCTAAGTGTATTGTAACCGGTTTGCTACTATGGCTCAACAGTTGAAAACACATACACAACACAAAGGGGCTGCTGATGAGTAGGTAACGGTGCAGGAGTGTAGATAGCAGCAAACACAGGTCACTTTCTGTCCTTTAAGTATAAGTCTCATGTTCTTGTTGCGGGCTGTATTTCCATGTACATCTTTGTCAGATTTGAATCTCTAGTCTGTACCTCTATATGTGTGTGGTTACACCAGCACTCCTCCCTCCTCCCTCTCCCCATTTGAAAGTTAATTTCAGCCATTAAACCTTCCAAACATCTCCTGTCAATTTCACACAGTTGAATCCTTTATAATATCGCCTTTCTCTTTAGATTCACTCTGTGTTTAGTATTTGAGTTCCTCTCCACTCTGACCCCTGACAGTAGGGTCTATCATTCAATATAGAAGACATAAAGGGAACGTGGTTTCAATAAATGCTACTTTTGCAGGTCTCAGTGATCTCTGCCTTGTGCAGTGCCAACACTGCTGATTCCAGGTAGACATAAACCATCGCTGATAATCTACCGGCACTGTGTTGCTGTGGGTTTTCGGCTCTCCCTTAATACACTTGTCAATGTTAAACATCATCCTCTCTGCAAACAGACCCCAGTTTCTAATCACAGTGGCGTACATGATTTCTGGGTCAAAGTTCACACGTCGTCTATTTCCTGCACATCTGACGTCAATTTAACCCATTGGCATCTTCTCTGCAACATCGATCTACGTGTGTACATCCAACTTGTTAGGAATTTATCAATGCTTAAAACCCACTGGACGTGATACCAGAAGAATCCCAACTCGCGGGTTAAACCTCACTGGAAAATGGGCCAATTCATGTTCTGAGCAATTGGTGCAGATTTGATCTGGAACGTGTACATATCACTTCTCATCACCTTTTGTAATACAACTGTTGCTTTCAGTTGATAAAAGTCATACATGGGAGGGAAAGTAAAATGGTGAACAGTCCTGTGTCATTAATAATGCTTATTGTGGGATGTTTAAAATCTTACATACAGTATATCAATACGTTTGATGTTTTCTATGTATACTGTACACCATGAAAGCTACAATGCCTGGAAACACTGCTTAACTACATTTGAAGAGTTCTTGTGACAATTGCTACCTCATGATACTTTCAGACTTGGAATTATAAACAACCTGAGTTCAATTATTCTTGCAGAGCTCTACACTGATGGGTTGAATCTCAATCATTCTCCTAGTTAATGTACAGGTTGCACAATAATCCCAAATCAAAGCCATGACTTCAGGGCAAAGGTTAATTCTCCGGGTTGGAGTTACAATCAACACAGAATAAACATTAGAGATAAACTTGGGTGGAGGGGGAGGGTGTTGGGTAACAAATATTCTTTTTTCTGTGTTTTTGAAAATAAATAACACATCAATGAGCAACAGGCAGAGTTGTACAAAATTATTAATGAGCTGTTTGCCTGTGATTTTAAGGAGAACGACCATATCTATTACTAGGGCCATTATTTTTGAAGGCCTTATTGAAGACATCAACTATCAATGGGATTCAAATAAGCACTTGTCTGACTGCTTGCTTATGGTGTATATCTGTATAGACTTGGACTGTATTAACTTTTCGGAAGACCAGACTTTGGTGTCTAATTGATTTTCACAACGTTTTGTATTTGGCATCAATATTCGTCAACGGGTTTCCTTCATTACGTGTAAACACAAAACGCATTCATCTGGGAGATATTTATGTGTAGTTTTCAATACAGACCAGATTGCTTAAAGAGATAAAGGATGAGTAATTCCCAAAGGACATTCCTGCACATCTGCAGAACCAGCCTTCTTTTAAAAAAAACTCAACAGGCACATTTGGAGCCATAAAGTTAGAACTCAGAGCTGGTGTTTATATCCCAATGTAATACTAAAATCACTACGTGTACTGTTTAAAACACATCAAGAAAAATACAGGTGCTAGAAATCTGAAGCTACGCCCAAAATTCTGCTGGAAATGGTTTACGGTTTGGGACAGTCTGTCATCAGTATTGAAAGAATGGTCTTAAAATCATCACTCTGTCGGATAGACAAAAGTTGAGGAAAGAGAAACAGAACCCCCCCAGGAAATATTTTCAATTGATTAGGTCAGGAAAGAGGGTTACATATTAATATTGTGTATGCTTATCCTAATACTTTAAAAAAAAGCTGTTAAATGTCTGAAGTCACCAAGGCTCGCACTGAAGTCAATGCTTGCGATTTGCTTGCATAAAGAACCTCCACATGTTTCAGTGTTGGACTTTAAAACTTGAGCACAGAAATCCCCCATCGCACGTGTTCCTCAATGAGAACCAATCGAGACTTAAACCAAAGACCGGATGTGGTCCATTGAAGGATGCTGCAATTAATGCATTGGTGCTGACAGGTCTGTGCAGCATTCATCGATTTTATGACACAGGATTGTCACGGGATGTCAAATGGGGGTGGGGCGGGGGCTTTGCAAACTGAAAGAACTCCGCTTAGCAGCCCATTATATTGAAATACATGATTTTATGCACAATTCCATGCACATCCCACAATACTGTCCTATGGGCCTGGATTAAAAGTCAAATGTGACGATCCACTCATTAAGGTACCTTTAATGGATTTACATACAACTCAGTCTTGTGCTTTATTGGACCTGCAATAATTTGAATGCAATTCACACCAATTGTTTAATGACTAGAATATCATGGGACGGTAACATTTTCTACCTTCAATTTGCAATATTTTTGCGCAGTTAAATCAAAACCAGGACAAGTCCCTATAACCTCACAGACCAAAATCTGATGTAAACACTGACACAATATAAAATCACAGTGTATTGTTCGAGTCCGAACATTGCGCCTTTTAATGTTATGACCAGAAACGGTTTCCTTTTGGATTATTATTTTTAAATCCCCCATTTTATAAATATTATGCGTAACGCCCTCTCGCTAACTTTTGTGCGATACGGACAAAAAGTTACTGGATCATTGCCTTCTTAAGCACATTTATCCTGGAAGCTTAACTACTCCTTAATATTTTGAACTGATCAGAAGCTTAAACTGGGAGAAGAATAGTTAATTCTGAAAGTACTGATCTGGTATGAAACCGTTACAAAATGATTTTGGGGAGCAATAATCTTGCAAGAGATGTCCTCAAAGTGATTCGACTGTACTGTAAAAGGCACGATATATGTCGAGATGGATTGCCAATCTTTTAGTATTTATCTTATATTTGATGAATCCAGCTACTTATTTGCAAAGGTCTGCTTAATGGTTTAAATTGGCGCGATTGGACATCAGGAAAAAGTTGCAACAATTAGTTTATAATCAATTTAATTCAAAAAGGGCAAAGACTTAAGGTGTACTTTAAAGTAAATTATTACATTTTACCTACTGAGTTTAGTCCATCTCAAGCTCTTTACGTGATAAAACCCCCTTGAAGTATGTCTCAAATATGTACTCTGACATACCCCATGAGTGACGGGTGCACAACCTTCGTGTAAAGTAACAAAAATAATTAGTATGAAACACCAGAATCCTGAAACTGGATACCAGCCAAGGCACAGGTCTGAATGGCTCTCACAGTCCCTCTGCAGTGTCGGTGTTAGTTGTTTCGGGTTGGATTGCTGGAGTGTCCTTTATAACAGCTCGTTGCACCTTTTGCAGTTAGTTAGTTGGTTAGTTAGTTAGTGAGTTAGTTATACGTTCATCTTTCTCCACAAGACACAGTTTGAACTAAAACACGACAGGACTTCGGGAGCACAGCGAAACAGCGAGCATCACAGGCACAGCTCTGCCCCATCCACCACTGCCTCAGGATCCCGGGACCACCTCCTGTGTCTGCCACACTTTTCCCAATTTCACTGCGCCCTGAGCTGATGTGGTGGGATTTGCATTTTAGCTTTAAAACACACACACACACACACAGACACACACACACACATACACATATGGACACACACATAAAGAAGAAAAGATTATTTTGGAAACAAAGAACGACGAGGACACAAAGTATCGATCGAGATCCCCAAAAGTATCATTTGCAAACTCGCGGAGTGACGACACTGTCACATTGAAGGTACCGAGTCCACCCCCAGCGGTGTCCGCCCGTCCCCGCCCTGTGCTGATGTCCTCGGCCGCTGAGTGTCCACCGGTGTGTGTGTGTGTGTGTGTGGAGGGGGTTCGTTAACCCCTTGCGGTTGCCGAATATTGCCGAAGGAGCGGTGACGTCAGGCTCGGGGGTGATCGGCCGCTGCCCACACGCCGGGGTGGGGGGGTGATGAGGAGGGGGGGGTGATGGGGGGGGAGGGAGGGGGGGGTGATGAGGGGGGGGGTGATGAGGGGGGGGGGGTGATGAGGGGGGGAGGGAGGGGGGGGGAGGGTGATGGGGGGGGGAGGGAGGGGGGTGATGAGGGGGGGTGGGGGGCAGACACACCCACAGAGACAGCGCTGGAGCGCCGCGGCGGCAGCGGGTCAGACACCCACCGCGGTCTCTCTGAGAGATAAGAGAGAGAGAGGGGGAGGGAGAGAGCGAGGAAGGAAGGAAGGAAGGGGTTAAAAGAGGGGAGGGAGGGGGGAGGGGAAAAAAGGGGGAATAACTGACTTTCAGGAGAAAAGCGGAAAAGCGCCCCCACACTCGGGAGATACCTCCTTCCCTCCCGGTCAAGCAGGAGAGAGGGAGAGGGAAGGAAGGAAGGAAGGAAGGAAGGGGGCGGAATGGCGGCAAATATGTACAGGGTCGGAGGTAGGTGGGAGCCTTTCGTGGTGGTTTAGTGCGAGGCGGAGGCGGGAGGGCGGCCATCAGCTCGTGAATTACACTACAACAAGACACTTACACGCCCCCCCCCCCATCCCCTACACCCCCCACACCCCCCCCACCATCCCCCACACCCCCCCACCATCCCCCCACCCCCCCCCCATCCCCTACACCCCCCCACCATCCCCTACACCCCCCCACCATCCCCTACACCCCCCCACCATCCCTACACCCCCCCCACCCCCCCCCCCACCACCCCCCCACCATCCCCCACCCCCCCACCATCCCCCCCACCATCCCCCCCCCACACCCCCCCCATCCCCCACCCCCCCACCATCCCCTACACCCCCCCACCCCCCCCCCCACCCCCCCCACCATCCCCCCCCCATCCCCCCCACACCCCCCCCCATCCCCTACACCCCCCCCCACCATCCCCCCACCCCCCCCACCATCCCCTACACCCCCCCCCACCCCCCCCCACCATCCCCCCACCCCCCCCCACCATACCCTACACCCCCACCCCCCACCATCCCCTACACCCCCCACCACCATCCTCTACACCCCCCCCCCACCATCCTCTACACCCCCCCCACCATCCTCTACACCCCCCCCCACCATCCTCTACACCCCCCCACACCCACCCCCCACCATCCCCTACACCTCCCCCCACACCATCCCCTAGACCCCCCCCACCATCCCCTACCACCCCCCCCACCATCCCCTACACACCCCCCACCATCCCCTACATCCCCCCACCCCCCCCCCACCATCCCCTACACACTCGCCCACCATCCCCACCCCCCCACCATCCTCTACACCCCCCCCACCATCCCCTACACCCCCCCCACACCCACCCCCCACCATCCCCTACACCCCCACCCCCACCATCCTCTACACCCCCCCACCATCCTCTACACCCCCCCCACCATCCTCTACACCCACCCCCACCATCCCCCACCACCCCCCACCATCCCCCACCCCCCCACCATCCCCCACCCCCCCCCACCATCCCCCACCCCCCCCACCATCCCCCACACCCCCCCCCCACCATCCCCCACCACCCCCCCCCCCACCATCCCCCACCCCCCCCACCATCCCCCACACCCCCCCACCATCCCCCACACCCCCCACCCACCATCCCCCACACCCCCCCACCACCATCCCCCACACCCCCCCCCACCATCCCCTAGACCCCCCGCACCATCCCCTACACCCCCACACCATCCCCTAGACCCCCCCACACCATCCCCTAGACCCCCCCCACACCCCCCCCACCACCCCCCCCACACCATCCCCTACACCCCACCCCCACCATCCGCTACACACCTCCCCCCACCATCCCCTACACCTCCCCCCACCATCCCCTACAACCTCCCCCACCATCCCCTACACCCCCCCACCATCCCCTACACCCCCCCCACCATCCCCTACACCCCCCCACACCATCCCCTACACCCCCCCCACACACACACACAGCCAGTCCTCGCCAACATTTATTATTATTGTTATTGTTATTTATTGTTATTGTTTGTAACCAGCTCCCCTTCCCTTCCCCTTTTCTTAAATAACTTCTCCCCCATCCCCGCCCCATGTTTTGAAATATATCAATGTGAATATATATATATATTACAGAGGTAGTAAAAGTTCATGGTTAATATTTACTTTTCTAAACAAAAAAAATCTCTGATGATTTGTGCAAGAGAATCAAAAAAGTTGGGTGAAGTGCTAATACTTTGTGTGCATGTTTTTTTTAACATATATATCTCTCTATATATATAGATAGATATATATATCTTCTGTGTGAGTGTGTATTTCTGTGTGTCAAGTAGTTGGGTGCCGGAGTGCTGTTTGTGCTGTTGTTGGGTGACAGTGTGTGGCTGATTTAAATAAATATATATATGTTATCACCAGAGTGGAAAATGGCGAAGTGACACTTCACTCCCCTTCGGTGCTGGGCCTGTACCTTATTAACACACACACAAACCCGGGCTGCTGCTGCTATTGCTCTTCTGTCTTTATAGCCAGAAAAAAACAAAAGCTATTAGTTCGCAGTACTGTATATGTATTTTTTTAAAAATATGTCTCTCCCATCCCATCCCATCCCACTGACTAGTAGTTCAGTCTTTTAAACAGTTAATAAAAGTACAAATTATTATTTTTTAAAAAAAGCTGAGATGCCATATTTTGATATCCATTGTTAACCCCCCCTCCTCCCCCTCCCGCGCTACACACGACTACATCGCTGGGTAAAATCATTCACGTTAACATCGAGTTTCTGTTAACCGTTAAGATGCCATTCCATCTATTTCTTTCGTCCTTTCCCCCCAGGAAAATCAGGGCAGCCATTTATTATCTTCTCACTAGTGAGAATTTACAGGATGGTGAGGGTCCATAACAACAACAACAACATTACATTTGTATAGCGCCTTCCTCGTCAGGAGGACGTCCCAAAGCGCCGGACAGTCAGTGTTTGGGATCGGAGTTGGGGGTCGTTTGAATTAGATTTTATTTGGGGGGTGGGATTTAAGAATTTTTAAATATACATGTAATGCAGGGAAAATAACCAATGTGACTTTTTGTGAATCAAGGAAACTTTTCAAAACAAATCTTCTCCCTTTAATGATACAATGTGCCATTGTGTCCAAACTGATTTCAAAATATTTTATATTCAATTTAAATGTTGTTATTGTTGGTAATGTTTATGTTTTAGAATTTACTCTCTTTTTGTTGCAGATTATGTTTACTTTGAAAACTCATCCAGTAATCCTTACTTAATAAGAAGAATAGAAGAACTCAATAAGGTAATTCATATTTATATTAAATATTTATTGAAGGTATTCGACCCCTCCCCCCACTAATTTTGCCTACTCTGGTCCTCCTGAGCTATGTGCCACAGCGAGAGTGAGGGACAATCAATTACATTAGTTTGGGATTCAAATAGACCTCTCTCTTGGACTGTGCTTACAGTCCCTTCCTCCCTCCTCTGGCTCTGTGTTGGGCTCTGCCACTGTTATGCACTTCTAGATGCTACCCCAAATGAAGGGCATTATATAAGCGCAAGTTGTTGTAGTTGTTAAGATTAATTGGTGTGTGTGTGTGTTTATGGGGTTGGGAGGAGTGGGGCTGGCGGAAGCTTAAGAATTTTATGAATACATTGTGATGAACATTTGCAGGGACAAATGGTTGGTGACCTGCTCCTTATCTGTGCCAGTGTGTCTCTACATTAGTGATGGAAAGCATGCAGAACTGTTCCAGAGTTGACTCTCTCTAGTATTATTTCATCTGGTCCTGCAGGAAGCTATTGCTCTCCATTTGACATTTCTCTTGGCAATTAAACTTCTGTTGTACAGTGTCCTTGCATGTTGGATGGCACATCCATTACTGAAACATTTTATTAGGATTCTATTTAATTTCTCCCTTTTTCCCAGTTGGGTCTTATGTTGCACATCATTCACTACTAAGAGGTTGTCCAGATGAGATGGTCACAGGCCTCTGCAGATGAGCTTTGAAACTGGAAGGTAAAAGTTGTGCAAGAACAGCCACAATACTCCTATCCATAAGGAAGTTCTAATTTTCACAGTCTTACCCTTCAGCAGTATTGACACTGACCAGTTGTTTTACCATACATTGTATCATTATTGACTTGGTATTATTATATCCAAATCTCTGACTGTCCAGTGCCTTGGGACGTTCTCTCGATGTGAAAGGTGCTACACAAATGTAATTTGTTGTTGTTGTTGACTTATCATGGCATTACTATTCCATAATGATCTGCCAACACATTACTTCAAATGTTGCCTCTTATATGGTGTTCTGTAATAAATTGCAATTCCGTTACTAGTCCCTCCAAAAAAAAAAAATAAATTGGTCATTTTCAATCCACGACTGTTTGTGGGACATTGCTTTGCGCAATTGGCTGCCGCGTTCGCCCACAAAAATATACAGTCAATTCACTTTACAGTGTGTTCTGTGAAGCGCTTTGGGACGTCCTCCCGACGTGAAAAGCGCTATATCAAATGCAAGGATTATTATTATTTATTATTATTTAACATAATTAAATGTTCCAGCATCTTGTGCTGAGAGCTAGTGATTGAACACTAAATCACATAAGAGTTTGGGATGAAGACCCTCAGAAAATTAGCCCTTGCCCTTGTTCTCTCTTCCAGAATACCATCAGTCTGTTTCTTAAATGAGTCCATTGTCCTGGCCTCAACTACCCTTCCTGATAATCTATTCCAGCTGTTGATTACCACTGTAGAAAAGACAATAATCTTAGCTTTTGTCCAAACCTTGCCCTTTTACCCTTCATAACCTTGAATCTATGTCAGCTTTCCTGTGCTGAATTGGCATATCTAAAAGTAATGGAAACATCTGAAATCTCTTCACACTGTGAGAATGAGGCTTGTTGTTCCTTGACCAGGAACGACTGCAACAGTGAAGCATTCCTCATGGGAACCTGACGAACGAGAGACTGATATTGTTGTTCTTGTTGCAAGATTGCCTCCTTTCAACTAACCATGGAGCAGGTTCCAGAGGAGTTTAGAGCTGATCTTGGATCATCTAACGTCAGCAGCATAAGTTGGGGTTCTTGTTTTTCCAAGGTTTTATTCAAGAAGTTTGTTGCCAGATCAGAAACTAATAATAATCCCTCCAAAACCAAAAACAATAATAAATTGGTCATTTTCAATCCATGACTGTTTGTGGGACATTGCTGTGCGCAATTGGCTGCCGCGTTTCGCCCACAAATATACAGTCAATTCACTTTACAGTATATTCTGTGAAGCGCTTTGGGACGTCCTCCCGACGTGAAAAGCGCTATATCAAATGCAAGGATTATTAGGATTATTATTATTACAGTTATTGCAAGCTCTATTCTCTTTTTATTATAACAATGTTTCTTAATTTTGGAATAATCTGTATCCAATATTGCCTAGTTGGGGAAATTAACGCTGAACAATTGTAACTAAATACTATGTATTCCCATTCTGCTACTGTACTGTACTTTGCTTGCTCTTGTTCTTAGTCCACAGAAGGTTGGAATAGTCCAGACTGGGCAATCTACTTGCTTTTAGTGCAACCTTATAATCCTCATGTCTATCGACCGTCTCCTATTCTAACTTGTTCTTGTAGGATACTCAAGATTGTGGAAATCGTTAATCCATCCTAACATTTTCTTTTTTTTTTAAACTTTAAAGTCTAAACTTGGCCTAAAATCATCTGACTGCATCTTCATGTGGTTCTACTATTTATCAACCTTGACGATGTAGAACACAGTGGCATCTGAATGGTGTAGAATATCGATAGTAAGAACTTTCATTATGTCAGTGATTCCATTGATAATGATGAAACTTATCCTGCTGCGAAAGAGTCCAAACAGATTCTGATTTATTTTTGTGTGTGCACCTCCTAATTGGGATAGTAATTTAAGCAATGGAAGCCATGCTTGATTTACCCTCCAGATGAAGCTATAAGAAAAAGGGAGAAGCCTTATAATTGAACACAAAGAAGGGATTGGAAGAGATTCAAGCTGAAATTCAGATTTTGAGTCTTGGAGAATGAGCAGGACTTCAGAAGTCTGAAGATTTTGCTACGCTCACATATTAAATGCTGGTAATTCTTAAAACTCATTGCTGGAGTAGTGTTGTGTGCAACAACAACAAAATTACATTTGTAAAGCGCCTTTCACGTAAAGGTAGGAGGGCAGCTGAAGGCACGGTCGAAAAGGAGGGTCTTGAGTCATGCCTTGAAGGGAGCAAGCAAGATGATGGGACTGTGGGATGGGATTCCAAAAGGGCAGAGAGGCTGAAAGCCAAGCTGCCGATGGTAGGTGGGTTGGGTGGGAGACATGGAGCAGGCTGGATGGAGGGAGCGGACAGGTTGATAGGGGGTTAGCAGGTCAGAGAGGTAGGAGGGGGAAAGGCCATGGAGGGCCTTGAAAGTAAGGACGAGGAGCAGGATGTGTGTTCAGACAAAGAGTAGGATGCGGGTTCAGATTATAAATTCTCCGCAAATCCTTCTGCTGGACCATTTTAATTGATAGAAGAGAGAAATTGAATCTATTCCCTCTCATGCATCTATTAAGTGGATGGTTCATGAAAACTATCTGTTGCTTAACTCGGCACAGTGAGGGGTGAAAAATAGTTAAAAACAGTGTATGTGGGAGGGAAGGAGTTCTTTTTATGAAAAATATTATGAAGCAACAGTGTTTGACACCACGAACAACAACTTGCATTTATATAGTGCTTGTCGCGTAGGGTACCATCTTTTAAGTACTTCACAGCTTGTTGTGGACAGAGAAGTTACTTTTTTAATATAAGCAGATTAGAATAATCACAGACACAACAAATTTCATCACAGAAGACCATTTGGCTCATTGTGTTTGTGTCATTGTTGCCTGTTTTTCAAAGTTTATCTTTTATTTATTAATCCCACTTTGCAGCTCTTTTCCCCATACCCCTTAATATTTTTACTTCTTAGATTCATTATCCAGATGCCTTCTGAATGATTGTAGTGATTGAGCTTCAACAGTCACTTGTGCCATTCTTGATTTGTCTTAGTGATTAGGCAATGTATACATAAATATAATATTCCTATTGATACTGAGATGTTATTAAAGATGAAACATGCTGTAGTGGTCTATATCTTTCAAAATACACAGGGATTTAATAATCTAACTTTTGTTTTCCAGACTGTAAATGGCAATGTGGAGGCAAAAGTGGTCTGTTTTTACCGGCGGCGGGACATTTCGAACAGTCTAATAATACTTGCTGATAAGCATGCCAGTAAGTCCAAGTTTAAAATTATCAGAAAGCTCTGAATATTGAATTTGAAGTTATTAATACCAGTGGATTGTGGCAGAAGTGTTTCACTGAATTAAAGCAAAGTAACTACTATGATTTTCGTTTTATTTTGTAACGGACAAGTTATTCTAAGGTTCTTTAATGTGTTTTACTTATGTAATTATAAAACATGGGATGAAAAATTGCTTCTTAGCCTACAAATAGTGGATTCCACCTACACCTACTCTTGTCTTGGTGGGGGAGGCTGCTCTGTATATCTTTATAAATACTTCATAACTCTTAAAGAATAAACTTCAGAATATTCATCCATAATATTTCCTTTCTTTACTCCTTCTTCCTGGTACCCAGTAGCGTTATGTCCTGTGGGAATTTTCCTGAAATTATGCCATTCTTGGGTTTGTTTTTTAAAAAATTGTTATCAGCATTGCCTGTTTTTTCTATGAGTCAATTCTACACTTCCAGCAAAACAATGTCAAAATAATTTCATGTACAGTCATAGAATATTACAGGAAATTGTTAGCTGATTTTTATAAAGTAGAAAATAATGGCTATTTGCAAACTTTTTTTGAGGGACATGAAATTAATTATCATGGGAAAGGTTCAAATGCACTTTGGAGCTTATGGGATTCCCACGGAAAAGTTTTTGAAAACTAAATCTCCATTCTCCCAGTTTGTGTAAGTGCTTGTTTTTTTGTACATTTGAGTTTTAGCACTGTCAGTATTGCACACTATTCCTGACTAAGAAAGCAGTTAGACATAATACTTATAGGCCTCTTTCTTTGTCACCCTTAAGATGACCTTTAGGTGCTGTCAAAAAATAGTGAACATTTTCTCACCTTCTGCTGCTGAGCAGCAGATTACTGTACTTGTTTCTCAAGTTGCAACAAGCAGTACAACCCATATTTTGGTGCATTTTAGAGGAGTTGGGTTTGACACAAATGGCTTGGGAGGCCAGATTCTTATGTAGCTTTTTTTTAAAAAAATGAAATTTTACAGATTGTAATTACTTTCAGGTCCATGATACTTTAAAGAAAATATTAGCCATAGGTATGTGCTGTGCATAAGACATTTTACTGACTTCGTGAGATTTCTCTCATCCTGTAAAGACAAATGTAGGTACTCCTTAGATCTTAGATATGGCTAGCCATTTTCAAAATTTCCTGCAGTAGAATGGAATATTCATTCAGAAGTTTTTGTGCCTTTTAAAGCTTTTTTAGATTTTATAGTCCCGCTTTCTTTTATCTTCACCCTCCTCCCACCCCCCATAAATACACTGTACCAAATGATAATAAAGGGTAGCATGAAATAAGCCATTAAAATGTTGACAGGTCTACGGAATTAGATTCAAATGAGTTATTTGAGAGTGTAGACCTTGAAGTCATAGTTGCACCATTTACATCCCTTCCATGAGATTACAAGTAAGTTTCATTTTTATTTCACAGATTAATGAATATGTGGAGCAGACTCCCATATTAAGCAGTTTTCCTGAGTCCATCAGCACCTTTGGACAACTGTTCATTAATGAAAGAGACTGAAGGTTACATGCTCAATAAACAGTTGGTTTGTGTTTTTGGGAGCAGTGGACAACAGCTGGTTAATAAAAGGCAACGATGTAGAGAATTTTATAACTCAGCTTGATTACTTTGGGGGTTTAGGGAAAGTGTGAGACTTCTCTGGCAATATAGCAAATGAGTCTATGATGAGATAGTGGTGCATACACTGTGGAGCAAGTGGGATTGCTGAACTGATTTTTTTTGTCCCAGCCTTTTGTATGTCAGTACAATAAAGTAAATAGCAGTTGTGGAAAGTATTTGTGGCAGGTAGCCCCAGTGGTGTAATGGATAGAACTGCAGATTATGGACTGGGAGCTCACTGGTTTGAATTCTGGCCTATACTGACTTTGCTGGTCTAACATGGAGGCTAAGTTGGTGCCAGCTTTCCTGAGGATGGGAGGGGAAAACCAGAAGGATATTTACAATTGGTTCCTCTATGCTGCTCCTCCTCTGTACTGGTAGTGTGCGGTGTGTGACAGCCAGATGAGGAGATGTCCGGTTCATTTGTCACGCCTTAATAGTCTAGTGGCCTGTTGACACTCACGGTCAAGACTGATCCTGTTTACAGCCAATTTCTTATGTCAGCATTTTTTTGTAAACATTTGCAATAATTTTGTAAAATTTGTTTAACTTGCATATTGACTTTTTTTACTTTGTTAATTCCTTGTTCCATCACATATAAAGAAAACTATGTTTCTTTGAAAATTGAATTTTTGCTGAAAGGGCAGATTTTATCTTATGCTTTCAGAACTGTAAGAGTTTTTTTAACTTGCAGTTGAACATAACAAAGGAAGAGGTAACATATGCTGTCGGCTTGTGTTATCTAAATATTTTGTCTAGTAAAATGCAACAACAACAAAATGCAACTCACTTTGATCAGTTTTAACCCCATTACTGTACTTGTACGTGGTTTTTGTTTTTTGTTTGTTTGCTTGTTCATTTTCTTGAGACCTTAATATATTTTTTATATGACTCAAGAAAGTCAGTCTTTATTCACATGACATAATTTCTTGGCAATTTTATGCAAATTTTTGTAACTTGCTTTTTTGTGCTTAAATACCTTCCTTGTTCTGTTCCTGGTAATAACACAATTCTAATATTTTTTAAAGAGTAGGAGAATCATAAATCAAATAAGGTGAAAAACTTTGCCCATAGTAAGATGTAGCAAATGGGAAAGTTGCCACAGTAAGCCAATTATTCTGGAAATTAACTGAATTTTATGCAAGCATTTTGCTTGTATTTCTTCCTGAATTCCTGGAATTTTGATTCCTGTTTTACACTCGCATTATTGAACTTCTGTTAATTTTTGTATGGTTCCATGTTGCTGGAATCATTCACTTTTTGAGTTGTGTATTTATCCTTGCATTTGACAACAGCTGAGATTTGGTCCAAAGAACTGAAGTGCACAGCTGATGCTGGGCATTTGAGGGTTGCATTCCATAATGCAAGTCTGAAGCTTTCTTCTGATGGCCAACTTGATGTTTAATGATGAGTGAAATTCTGGAAAAGAGATATATTTCATCCCAGACTGATCTTTAGAATTCATAGGTTTTGAAGAGTTCAAATTGTTGGCTTGCCTCCAATTTCACTGGCTAGTAGGAAATGCTGGAAGGGTAAGGAAAAATGAACATATTTCAGTAAACAGGATAATCTTGGATTCATAAGTGATTGTGTGAATCATTACAGAATTGACACTATTTTGGCCCTATGCTATTTCCTTGCTTTGAATGCCCGAAAACCTTCCACTTCGACCATGCTTACAGCCACCATTCCCCCCCCACCGGCTCAGAGTCAGGCTGCGCCACTGTTAAGCGCTCTGAGACCTTGCCCTGCATGCACTGCGCTATATGAGTGCAAGTTGTTGTTGTTATACCAGATTGTTTTATTTTGACTAATACATGACTGTACAGTTAGTGTGTAGGGCTGAGGCAGCTACGGAGGTTAGGACTAAGTGCAGCATAATGTTTTTGTGATATGGCCTCAGACCTGAAATAATGCAGAGTTCAATTTTAATTTAAGAATCTGTCCTCTTGAGCTATTTTTCATGGGTTTGTTTCTGGAATTTTTAAAAATATATATTCAGTGAAATGATGGTGGTTGGTTTAGTAGCTACTTGTTGCATTGAAGGGAAGCTTGACAATGATTGTAACAGTCAGGATTTGCATTTTGATTTCTCCCATTCACATGGATAGGTCAAAATATTATGGATACATTTTGACATAAAAAGGCTAGGGCAAATCGGGCATCACTTTAAAGTTCGACTTGACGAATGTTATTTCGTCAGCACTGAAAACTGAATCCAGACACCTTGAAATAAAAGTTGCAAAATGATCTATAAGGCTGATTGAGAGTGGTACAGTTGTTTTAGAATTGAACTTGCAGTTAGTGCCTCAAGAATACGTGGTGGACTTTCTTTTGAACATGTCTGATTTTTCTTGCGTACGTTACTTTTTTTTCCCTTTCCTCCAATGACATCTCTGGAACTCCCTGCCTCAATCCCTCTGTTCTTGCCCCCTCTTTACCTATCTGCAAATCATACCTGAAGACTTTCCTCTTTGACTGTGCCTTCAGTCACCTCCTTTCACTCTCTAGCTTGGTGTCAAACCTCACGACTATTAAGTGCTTTGATACATTATCTGGATCGATGGTTTCACTACATATATGATCTTCATTTGTCAGCTGTAACTTAAAATTGACCTTCTTGTTCTTGTTTAGAGATAGCTTTGTTTGGATGCAATTCTACTGGTTCTCTTGTAATGTTTATTTCCACAATTGTAGCAAGGGACACTGAGGCCAATTCTAACAACCCTGTCCCCAAATTGCTGCCCTGGCAGAGATTGGCTAGCTCGGCAAAGATTTGGAATGTAACCTGAGTGTGTAAGCAATATATTTATGGGTATTCAAACAATACCCATAAATATGCTGTTGGTAGCAAACATAAATACATTTTGGTCACTCATTTCATGGCTGTTTGAGGAACACTGCTGTCTGCAATTGGCTGCTGTGTTTCGCACACACAATACAGTCAATCCAGTTTACAATGTATTCTGTGAAGTAGTTTGGGACATCTCAATGACTTGATGAGGTGCTATATCAAATGCAAGGATTATTTTATTAAAGCAGAAAGCTTTCACGATTTAAACTCAAGCAAAAATGTAGCTCTTGTAATGGATACTTTGCCTAAAAATGTAACAAGAAATTAATTATTGTTCTGGATACCGCACTAAAGTTTGGACAAAACAACATCCCAAACAATTATCAAAATGCTATTTGTTAATTTGTAGCTATCAGTGTTGATGACATCCTAACCTACATTTAATGTTTCTCTGGTGATGGTTTCTAATGTATATTTTGTACCCAGTGTATTTTGTATGCATTTTGTGTACAGTACACCATATGAAGTACAATTTATCTTCTTTCAGAGGATCA